TAATTTCAATAAATGATCAGCAGAAAATTACAATTAATGTTCAATTAATATGATGGCCCCAAAACCCCAAAACCCCAAAACCCCTAATGTGTAAATTTGAGTTATTTTTTATTAAAAGTAAGTTTGTTTATTAAGTGAGAATAGATATTATAGGAGTTTAATATAATATATATTCTTAAATAGGGACATCTTAGATCCTAGAATTCCGATCAATGTAAAATAACGAAAAAATTGTTGGCATGAAGCTCTATATGATCATGTTGAGCATGCTTTTATTTGGAACCTTCAACACTATTCTTATGAAGATTCAAAACTCCACACCCATTAATCCTGACGACCCAAAAAGTCCTACTTTCAATCATCCTTTTGTGCAATGTGCAATTATGTTTGTTGGAGAGTGTTTATGCTTAATCCTCTACGGATTGAAGTTGTTATATCAAAACAGACAAAAGAATAAGAAAGGCTTCGTTCCATAATCTCCAGGTACTTAATAGGCTGATATGCTCCATTTAAAAACACACATCAACCCGTTATTACTAGCCATTCCCGCTGGTTTCGATATTGTGGCTTCAACTCTGATGAATATTGCTCTGACTATGGTAGCTGCTAGTGTTTATCAAATGCTCAGAGGTATGATTATCATCATTACTGCAGTCATGGCTATCATATTCCTGAAGAAGAAGCTGTTCAGACATCACTGGAGTTCAATAGTTGTCATCTTCCTTGGAGTGTTTATGGTTGGTTTAGCTGCTCTATACTTCAAAACTGATGAGGAAAAGCAATAAAGTGCTGGTCAAGAAACAAAGCCATTAGGTCTTGGCTTACTTTTGCTTGCTCAGTTATTTACTGGTGGTATGTTCATTGTCGAAGAGAAACTGTTATCTGACTATTACTTGGATCCACTGAAAATTGTGGGTCTTGAAGGAGTCTGGGGTCTTCTCATGTATGCAGTCCTCTTACCTATTTTCAATAACATTCCTTGTGATGTTGAGAACTTATGCAATAATGGAGTACTTGAGAACACTATTTAGGCATTCAAAGATTTTGGTTCTAACCCTATTCTCATTTTACTCTCAGTTGGAGTTTGCTTCTCTATTGCTTGCTTCAACGCCTTTGGTGTGACAGTAACGAAGCATGCTTCTGCTGCTCAGAGATCAACCATCGATACATCAAGAACAGTGTTGATCTGGATATTCTTCATGGCAGTCCCAATCTATGGCAATCACTTAGAGCACTTCAAAGTGCTCTAACTCTTCGGTTTCATTTTGCTAGTTATTGGTACTCTAGTTTACAACGAGATCGTGATTCTTCCATTCCTTGGTTTTGATAAGAACACCAAGGATGCTATAAAGAGAAGAGAGAACACTGAAAGCACTGGCTTACTAGACAATGATCAAGTTATTCAAGGTTATGCAGCCACCTCACCACATGCTGGCTACGATTCTTCAAGAAATGAAAGAATACTCTAGCACCACATGAATAACATTCATCAAAACAATAACTTGAACAAGACTGAAGAGCTCTCAATCACTGAAGAGTCTGAGAAATTCACTCGCAAATGATTTCGGCAAAGAATCAAATCCATCTCAACTAAATAATATCATGTATTAACTAACAAATACCGATTATCAATTTTACGAATACGCCTTTAATTCTTACTCACGGGGTTTTGGGGTTTTGGGGTTTTGGGGTTTTGGGGTTTTGGGG